TCCCAAGATCGAGTACCACATCGGGCTCCCTGCGAGGAGCCTGCTTCCTCTGCCTCTGCCTCTGCCTCTCTCTCTCTCTCTCTCTGTGTGTGTGTGTGTGTCTCTCATGAATAACTAAATAAAATCTTTTTAAAAAATAATAAATAAATAAAAATAGCCCTTCTACAATGAAAGCTTACGTTCATTCAGAGTTTTAGAAGGAGCTATTAATTTTTTTCATCCTTCATATTTTGGCCCAGGTGCCTAACACACCGACTAGAGTAACTCTTACATGGTTGTTAGCTGCAAATGTATAATACAGTTTGGAAACCAACAAATTCATCACTCCAAATGAAAATGAAATAGCACTTTTAATTGTCTTTTATGATTATAATATACTAACATTCAAAGAAAATAAGTCAAATATTATTGTTAGTCTTTTCTCCTATAAAGCACAACAGATTCTGATCAGTTGGTTTTTAAACACTAGCTGACATGGTTTAGAGAGGCAAGTCAAAACTGGGAGATATTGATTCTATTTCCATTAGCTAAGTTGCCTTACGAAAGTTACTTAAGCTCATCATTTTCTAGGGACAAAATGTATCCCTACCTGTCTTACTTTTCAAAGACAGTTGTACAGATATTTGTAGAAATTTATAAGGAGGTTGTTATAGAAAGCTAAAATATTTTGCCAGATGCCCTGAGAGAATTCTTAAAGGGAAAACAGAAAATGCATGCATGAGCTTCAATAGGGAACCATGGGGCTTAGAGTTTCCAGAATCAATTCAGTCTCCAAAGTTCTGGACAACCTCAGCTACAGCATTTCTACAACACATTCCATCGGGTAAGATGGGCTTAATTACTACTGAAAGTCAAATAATTTATAGAAACTCTTGTATAGGGTATTAGCTTACATTTTTGTATCAGTAATTGACTTGCCTTGAGTAAATCTCACAGATTCAACAGCGTTTTGAATATTTGGAACTTATTCCAAGCTATCGAAAATTTACAAATACAGATCAATTCAATTAAGGTGAGGGAGTTGCAGTCCATTGATTCAGAAAATGTACAAGTGCCCTTGTATAATAATGGTGGGCATCATATTAAACCTACATAGTTTTATTCAAAATATAAATAAATACTGGTGACATCTCCAAGTTTTTGTTTCCCCAGTGCTGCCAAAATAATAGCAATCTGATGCTGTCTTAGTACGAAAGCCTCATGTGGTTGAAAAAAGGAAGATTTTGGAGGCAATTAGATATGACTCCCTGTACCAAATCTGCCATTCCCTGTGTGGTCATAGGCATGTTATCATCTCTGTGGGCTGTTTCCTTCTGTGTAGAGTGCCTGAATCATAAATTGTGAGCACCGAATGAACTCACTGATATAAAATGCTTAGGATTGCACTTGGCTTAGAGCAAGTTCTCATTAGATGCTCACCAGAATTATGATTATTTACTCCAAAAAAAAAAATTTGTTGAACAAGACTCTTTTATTTATTTACAAGATCCTTTACCCAGTGCTATGCAAGTGTCTTTTTATGGCCTACTAATTACTATGTATAAGAAGAAATGATATAGCATAATTTCTTTGTTCTGGGTTTTTCAATCTCAAGACTATTGACATTTTGGAAGATGATTCTTTGTTATGGGGAGCTACTGTGAGCATTGTAGGATATTTAGCAGCATCTCAGTCTTCTAATAGTAGATGTCAATAGCACCATCCACTTTCCCATTTGTGGCAACCCAAAAAGTCTCCGGACATTGACAAATAAACGTCTCCTAGGATGCAAAAACTCCCCTGGTTGAGAACTACAGTCTTCCATCAACTCTCTGTAAAATATATTCATGGACTACTAGTCCTAGAAGATTCTTCCCAAAAGATCCATGTCAGATAATTTAGGAAACATTGAATGCTAATCATAATAATAGTAGTAGCTAATTTTTAGTAAACTTACTACATGCTGCAAACTGTTCTGGTCTTATTTAATCCTCTTAACAGACCTAGAAGTTAGTTACAGCTTTAAGGTTTATTATTCACTTGAGCAAATTGAACCCCAGTGAAATCAAGTAACTGACCAAGAACATTCCATAAATACGTGACATCTGCAGAACCTGTGCATTACCTATACATAGTGCGGCCTCTCGCATCCTCCACTTTTTAATTCACGATTCAAAATTGAATGTTAAAGATAATTATTCTTAAATTTTTATTTACTTTAGGAACTTAAATTCATTTTTGCTTTCATCAATTGATGACAACCTCCTTATCATTTGCTAATGATTGCCCTCCTAAACATCCTTTCCCTGGGAAAGATCACCAAAATAACCTCAGAGAAATTCAAATGGACCAAAACCCAGGAGGGAGGAATTTCTGGGCTTGGAAGGTGGCCAGGAACAAGGAACAGAAAACATGAAAATGAGGTCTTTAACCATCACATTAAACAGGGATAAACAAGAGTCTCCAGGGTGAAAGGGCATTTGGAACAGAGCAAATTGCATATGCAAAGGCCTGGGTAGCTGGGAAGGCATGATGTGTTTGGGGAACTGAGGGGAGAAAACAAAAAGGAAAATGAAATCAGAGAAAAGGCTGGGTTCTGCGTTATTGTTGCAAGTTTGACTCCTGTAGGCATGTTTGACTTTGCAATCTTTACAAGTTGTAGACAGCCAAAAGCACAGTGGCGACGTAGTCAGGTAGGTCCTTGACAATGATAACCAAAGTCAGTAGTATTTGGTGGTGGGAGACCCTGTGAAGACATGCAGAGCCTTGAGCAAGAGATAATGAGCTCAGATCGAGCAAAGGGATCAGATTTGAGAGAGATTATTAACAAGAAAAACCGAGTATGGAGAATCTTGCTCGTAAATGGGCTACAAGATCAAATAAGTAGAATTAATTTGTGGAAGATCTATCTCTACAAAACAAAGTGATGCCCTCTCAAGGAAATAACGTGGAAACATGTTAAACAGCTATGCTGGTGACTTAGAGGATTTGCGTTAACAAATCCCAGGCTCCTGGACTCCTTTTTCTTGGAAAACTATTCCGATCCCATTCAGATTTCTCACCAAAATTGTATACCCCAGTTATTTAGTGAAGTATAAGGCTGAATGGCAGATTCAGCCCCTACCTTTCTAATCCAGGCCACTTTGTCTTTTTTCCTTCTGAACATGCCACTTGGGAAAGATAAGTCCGCATTAACGGAGATTCAACCAAATGTATTTGAGAAATGATGAGACAGCTAAGAAATGTCGGGAAGAGATCAGTCTGAGATACTCAAAGAACTGTTGAATGGATGCATGAATCACATTCTGAATTCACTTTAATAACTTTGTACTTAAGTGTAGAAAATAAGATTAATAGAGAGGGGAAAAAATCTTTGATTATAATTTTCTATTTTATGTTCAACTGAAATAGCTAATGGGCCACTCTCAAAAAAATACCCAAGCACAGTTCCAACTGGACCTTTACCTCTACACATTATACAATTGATTTTTTACAACTTTATTATTTAAATCTTTAAAATGGGCATAAAGTCTAACGTAGTTAACCTTGTTAGTTTTTTCTAAATATCTTCTTCAAACTATATTTTTAAGAGTTGTTCTCTATACTCAAGTTTATTTATGTTGAAGCAATTTATTTTGCCTTTGATGTACAGATTTTTATAATCCCATCCTTGACAATTTAGAAGGAAAACATTTTTCCTACTACGTTCTAAGGCAGTAGGAAAGGCAAAGGTAAGGTAAAAGTTCTCACATAATTTTCATAGCTGTGCCTAAAATCGTAATTAATAATAATACCTGCTATTTAAGGAGTACTCATTAAGTGCCAGGTGTCTTAAAGTATTATTTCAAGTAAAAACCATACTAAATAAATATTCTTTACCCAGTTTTCAGATGGGCAAACAGAGGATCAAAGTGGGTGAAATGTTCAACCAGGACCTTGTAGTCCCCCAATTAACACTGTAAAGCTGAAACTTAGGTCCATTAGTGAGAAAAAAACAATGTTCTTTGTACAGTATCATTCTGAGTCCAGTTTTACTTCTATTCTTTTTCTTTTTTAAAAAAGATTTTATTTATTTATTCATGAGAGACACAGAGAGAGGCAGAGAGACGAGCCTGATGCAGGACTCGATTCCAGGACCCCGGGATCACGCCCTGAGCCAAAGGCAGACGCTAAACCACTGAGCCACCCAGGCGTCCCCTATTCTTCTTGCTTCATTTAAATGTTAACATGAATCCATAGCTGATCTGCTGCTCTGTGTTACTAGTTCTAAAAATCTCTTACTTTACTTGTCCCTGCCCCTGAATATCATTTTATCTTCTATATTTGTGAATTAGGAATACATATCATGAATGGTAACATAAATCCCAACATGCAAGGAAAAGATAATTGTTATCCTAGCTTTGTGGAATATTAATTTAAGAAACTGTTTTTCAAAGATTTTATTTGTTTTAGAAAGAGAAAGAGAGAGCAGGAGCAGCAGGGAGGAACAGAGAGAGAGGGACAAGCAGACTCTGTGTTGAGCGTGGAGCCCGAGGATACAGGGCTCAGTCTCATGACCCTGAGATCATGACTTGAGCCCAAACCACGAGTTGGGTTCTCAACCAAACTGAGCCACCCCAGTGCCCGGAAAACGATTTTTTTTAAGTGTTCCTTAGATTCAGGAAGTTGTTTTATATATATTTTTATTACATATTTGAGAGACAGAATGATATGTAATGGTTAAAATTCTCACTGATAAAATGGCTTTTATAAAACCAAATATTAGAGTTTTTATGTTAATAAAACATAGATAGCCGAATAATAAAAGTGTTTGCCTTCTCTGTTGCAACCCTCCCCCACCGAAAATATAGGAGGCATTTTGGTCCTAATCACCAGGATAATGAATTCAGACCTATTCCATTTTGTGACAGAGAACTTGTGTTTTACAATGAAAATTTATTGTCCTGTCTGCAATGAAAGAATTGATATTTCTGTTCTTACCCATTCTTCTTCTTCTTTTTTTTTTTTTGTGAATGTTTTAGGTGTATCAGTATATGCATGAAACGATAACTGTTAATGGCTGTCCTGAATTCCGTGCCAGGGCCACAGCAAAGGTAAGGCTTGAGTAACTTTAAAAATATACTTGACCCCAGTGATCTAGTAATTGATTGTGCGCGTGTGTGTTTCAGGTATTCTCGTGTGTACACTGTAAGAGAATTTAGACATCAGTGGCAGCCCAGAGTCTAGAACCAGTACTACTTCCCAGGTAAAAATCCTAATGGAAAATTGAACGTTTCTGCTGCTTCTGTAGCTTAAGAAAGGAGAATGATTTCATTAAACTCACTAAATGTCCATTTGGCACAAGCAAATCTACTGGTTCATTGTATGAAATAATACATGGTTTTCTGACACATTTCTCTGATCCAAAAGAAACCTGTTTCCTATTCAGTGCATGGAGATTTATTTGTACAAGTTTAAAGATTTGACTTGAGTCAGACACAAAGAGAATTCACCTGAGACCCACTGACATAGGGTTCTTGCATGTATTCAGCGGAGCAGTGGGTAGCTTGCTGAAAGAATGTGACATTGACCTAAAGCAAAAGCCTGTCACCTTTTGTGGTACAGACCACATTCGCTCTTTAAAAACTCAAAGCCAGGGATTGCAGAGAAAGCTAATGGAAATCTTACACTAATGGAAATCGTATAATGATAGGATCATGAAATTATCTGGAAAATAGACCATTAGGAAACAATAGTTTTAAACCAAGATCACTAATGTAGTTCTTATTTTACAAACACAGAAGTGTTATAATGGATGCACAATGACTTGCTTTTTAAAAGCTCTTATCTTTCTAATAATGTATAAGAAATAAGAACTGGCGAAAATAATCAACATTTTCCATTTAATTCTTTTGTGTTATATCACCTCTTGCTTGATTTCTCTCCTGATTTTTTAGTTTTCATTCTGTAACTGAACACTGTAGATTTGTAAGTTGTTTGTTTTGTTTTTTTAACCCAGGCAAAAGGAGGGTGTTATTATCATTACATCATGCTTTGCTTGTTCTGAAGTGGAACACACACAGAAAAATGATCCCTACGTGGTTTAATTAAGGGGAAAGTGAATTATGTAGTGTTTTACCATTCTCATTTCTTATTCATGTAGAACAGCAGGATAGCAGCATAATGTTGCAATAGCACAATATTTTCTGGTTGTTTCTGGGCTGTCTGCATTGCATCCATGTCAGCCATTAAAATCTATGCATGACGACAAGGTTTGCATGAGCGAATGCATGTAGCTAAAAACAAGCCATTATTTCCATATCATTCACTAAATTTCACTAAATGCAGACAGTAGCATAATGCTCAATTGATGTGATAATGCTGTGTGTGGAAAAGAATGTACAGTAGTTGGCAATCAATATTTTCATAGTGTTGAGTAAATCACTTTATAGTAGGCATCTAATCAACTGTGGTTAAGGCAGGTTAATGGAAGTGGAAAATAAGAAGCAGGCAGAGAATCTTTTCTTAACAGAAACAACTTCAATGCTGTTATTTTCTTTCCGTGAGGGGTGGGAACTAATGGTAAGTTACATTTTCAACTTATTTTTAACAATTAATACATGTATTTTAAAATAAAACGGTGTCCATGTTAAATGATATTTTGTACATCTAGGTATAAAACCATAGGCTGCTCATTTTGCCCATGTTGCCGTAGTTGTTAAAATATTAATGTAAAATAGAGGAGAAAACATCCTTACCAGATAAGAGGACCTTTCATAGTAATGCAAAATATTGATGTGAAATAATAACAATCTGTTTGAATCCATTATTTGTTTTAGCTTTTGTTTTCTTTTAGGTATCCTCAATCAAAAAAAAAAAAAAAAAAAAACACCCAAAATCTAAGTTTGCCAAGCCAGTGGTCTGGCAATAGCAAGATTATATATATATATATTGATCCGAGTATATACATATAAGTGCTTCTAAGTACATTGAGTAAATATTCATGAACATTTATGTGCCAGCACCGGGGTAGACTGTGTGTCATACGAAGAAGCGGATTACATGCTTGCTGGCCTTCAGGTGCTCACAGTTGACACGTATACATAATAGTTACAGCATGTGTACCATACAGAGATAGTATGGGGAGCAAACCTCCAAGGAAAGGAGGAATTGCATCTCACTAAGGTAACTGGGGAAGATTTTTATAAAGAAGGGAAATCTGTGTCATAATGGATAAGTTCTAGAAAGCCGGAAATAACCAGGCAGGGCTTTCCCAAAGAAGAGAGTTCTAGATGACATTAAAATGAAGCAAGCTCCCTCCCCGTTGTATTCTTTTTTTCACAGGAGAATGCTATAAAAATAAGAGGAGTTGCCTGAGCCCACCCACTGCAAAGCATACGATCAGCCTTATTTCCCCTCGTTTTATTACCAAATGACCATCTTTTCTTTCAGGCAACAGTTGCAGCTTTTGCAGCTAGTGAAGGCCACTCCCACCCTCGGGTAGTCGAACTGCCAAAGACTGATGAAGGCCTTGGTTTTAACGTGATGGGAGGCAAGGAGCAAAATTCCCCCATTTACATCTCTCGCATCATTCCTGGAGGGGTGGCCGAAAGACATGGAGGCCTCAAAAGGGGAGACCAGCTGCTATCAGTGAACGGAGTGGTATGTTCATAAAATAACCAGAGGTTTTCTCCCCTAAGCATATTTCCACCCCCTGCTGTTACTAAAGTCAAATGTTGAAATCCTAGAACAAATCATCATTTTGTGTCCAAATGACTCCCTCAGCATTGATGGACATTACACCTACAAAAGCAGTCATTTTATAGTTCTTATGTCTCATTTCATCTGTTTGGGTATGATAAGTATGAGCTGGTTAGAAAACCATCCCAAGAAATTATCCCAATGAGTAGAATCTTCCCCAACATGATGCTCTGATTGAATTAATATTTAGAAGAACATAATAATTCCAAGGTACTTTTTTATTCAAATTACTATAAAAGTACATTTAAAAAGTAAAGATCAAACTCCTCGCCCTGTATTTTTTATTTTAAGTTAAAGAGGAAGGATAATTTTATTTTTTTTATTTTTTATTTTTTTTTAGGAAGGATAATTTTAATGGAAAAAGATAACACACAGATAATTCCTTAATGTACAGCTTTAACAATAAAAATACATTAGCCTCTTCCCCCAATAAGTTTGCTTATGTTATGTATTCATCGTATATATTTTAATTTTGACACAGAGTTATTAAGGCAGATTAAAACATAAAACATTTTAAAGTATTTTTTAACGTTCATATTCTTTGGATGGCATTACCTCCATATGTAATAAGGACTTGCTAAAGAAATAACTTTATCTGAAATGAATCATTTTCTCTCCAAAACTTCTACTTACATCAGAAATAATCTAAAAGCATACATTTCAGAAGTTTAAATAAAAGCAAATCAGGGCAGCCCGGGTAGCTCAGCGGTTTAGTGCCGCCGCCTTAATTTCAGAGCCTGATCCTGGAGACCCAGGATCGAGTCCCACGTCGGGCTCCCTGCATGGAGCCTGCTTCTCCCTCTGCCTGTATCTCTGCCTCTCTCTCTCTCTCTCTCTCTCTCTCTCTCTCTCTCTGTGTCTCTCATGAATAAATAAATAAAATATTTAAAAACAAAAACAAAAAACAAATCACCGTTTACCTGTATATTAACCTAAGATCTTTTTCCTGAGATCTTAAGATTTTAACACATCAGCTAGGTCTGGGTTATTTGTGGCCATGTTGATCTCTGCTTAGAACACAATATCCAAAATAAAATACATCCAGAATGTGATTTTGGTATCTAGGGGGTAGATTCTTGTGTATTTATATCTTGTATTTTGTTTATTTCTTTTTTCATTTTTAGCCTAATAGCTTTGTAGAACCCCACACTATTCATTCAGCTCTGCTGATGGCCATCAGAATCATCAATCCATGAATATTCTATATCACTTCAGCATTCCAATTCTAAAATTGGCATTTCATTCACTTTTTTGCATGTAACAATGCTTTGAGATGAGCTTTCTTGTAGACTTTTAGGTAACTATGACTTTTTCAAAGCACATTTCAACCGATAATTTCAGAGTCCAGCTTTCTAATAGAGGCTGTAGACTAGGTCATGCAATCATGTCACAAAGTAATCTATGCCACAGTATATGAATTTGCTACAGTTTATCTGAATATATTGGGAAGGTCAAAAGAAAGTATAGATTTTTTAAAAATGAAAAATACAAAAAAAAAGAACCAAAAGTACATTAATAGAATTGTGATTATATATGGCAACAATAAATGTCAATGAAATCAATTTAATAGGTGGTTGGTTGACTTCTCTGTCAAAGGAGCTAAAGAGCCTTTGTTTAACCCAAATATTTCTAAGGAAACATCTGTAGGCATTTTATAATCTCTCATCCATTCCTTGCAGTGACCATGTGACTTTATCTGGGCAGCTGCAGGGAGTATAGGAGAATGGAGTCAGACCCATCAGGCTCTACCATTCAATGTTCTTTAATACTCCACATGTTTAAAACTTTTAATTTCACCAATTAAGTCTCATTTATCATGGTAAGTTAACGAGTCACTAATTTTGCCAATTTTGAATCCATTTCTGACATATTTTTGCTAATAAGCAAAGCATCATTTGTTCAGATGCTTTTATGGTGGCCAAGTTCCAGAGTATTGCCTTTCTAATATAATGCTTGCTGACCACCTTGGACTGGTTTAAGCTCCTAAAGTCAGGATTTCAAATATTACACATTCATATAATCCAACTATGTATTATCAACTACCCATTTTAAAGTATTTAAAAGTAAATTATATATATTCTAACAGTCCCTGATGTTGACCAGATGTTCATCAGGAGGTAGTTTTCGTTCTGCAACTGAGAAACTTCATGAGTTTTTCATAGCCATGCAGAGTAGTTAATCCCAGGCAAGAACCCCGGTTCTTCTAACACCCAATCTAGAAGTTTTCAGTATAAATTTCAGTCACTCAGATGGAAATACTTAAAACAAACTAACAAACACCCTGTAACGGAAGAGCAAAAAAAAAAAAAAAAAGAGAGAGAGAGAGAGAAAAGATTAGCAAATGATCAAATGATTTCTCTTTACACTTTAAAGTACTATTTGGGGAAATCAACATGGAAGATATTGAGACCTAGTCATTATTAACAAAGAACAAATTTTAGAAGAAAATGATGTGAAGGGCTGAAGCAAACCTGAACTACTTCAGTACAAGTACTCTGGGGAAAATTTCCTAAAGTCCTACTTAGAAAGTGAAGAAATTACTCCATGGATCTTTAAGCATCTGAAAAGACGTTTGAAAGGATGTCTTGATTATGTATGTTTGTTTTTATTCCTTCCCTCCTTTTAAAAAGGGTAGGTCACAGTGTCTGGTAAAAAATAAAACATGTATATACAGAACTATTAACATGGCATGTTAGGTAATAAAGTAGGATGATGGAAAGAGGGAAAAAATAAATAAATAGAAATAAAAGGTACAGCAATAGAGCAAGTGATTTTCAGTTTCTCTCTTAGTGTCTTAGAAGATAAAAACAGAAGGAAACTCATACCAGCTCAGCTATCATTGGAGGGATTTTTTTTTTTCTATTCCTGAGCCCCAGAGAAATTTCCCATGGGATTCATACAAACGAGACATTGAATCACCTAATACAATTTTATAGAAAATACAGAGGCCTTTTGTGTGGGGCTACTTCTTATGTCAACCTTCAGTAAAAACAGGGCTGAATGCTCAATTAAAATTTAACATTAACAGAAGGTCAAAATGTTACTGTTCAAATTTATAGCTTTCTAATGATCTCCTTTTCACCCTTCTCTGCCCAAGTATTTCATCAGCAATTTTGAGAAAGGACTAAAGGACCATTTATAAAGGGTGCAGCCAATGTGGAGCCAGCAGAGACAGTAAATAAATTTAGTGACAGAGTCCAGATAAAAAAAAAAATCTCAGAAATGGTGGAATAGGCCTAATTTAATGAGAATCTACATGAAGTCTTCCTCTTGTGCCCAGAAAACTAACCACCCATGTGCAAAATCAGCAGTGGGGGAATGGCTAAACCTCAAAACCTGAAAGAACAAAAAAGCCTGGGGATTTTGATTGATTGTGAGAGGAATATGAGTGAAGTTGGGGGGAAAACCCACAAAAAAACATATTAATGTGAGTATAGGGGGCATTATTACAAATTTAGTGTACAGACACGGAAGGAGACTTGATCCAGCTCTGGAATGTGCTGGACCCCACTGTGCTCCAGACCTGGTTCCGTCCTTATGGAAAACAATGCAGCTTTTCCAGAGATGAGCAGTCTTGTAGACATGTTAAAGAAGGAAGTGAGTTGTTTCGGATGGAGGAGAGAAGATTTAGGAGAATGATGGCTGCCTTCAGTTGTCCTGCATCATGTGAGGTGCCTGATGGGAGAACCAGCACCTTGGGGTAAACGGCATCAGGAGGGCTATTTCAGCTTATTATAATAAAGAGCTTTTAAACATACAGACTCTATAAATAGGGAAAGACCGAATCATAAAACAGTATGTGTCCATCATTTGAACTTTTAATCAGAGTTTAGAAGACTACCTTGAAGGAGCCGTTTAGAGGATGTGTGTTGTGTAGAGAGCTGGGGCAGTTGGCCCCAAGGTCCCTTCTAACTCTGTAACTGTGATTCTATATCCTTAGATGGGATTTTGCTGAGACCGCTATACACACCCCCACACACACCCCTCCTTGTACAGGTAAGTGGGCTCCACCTTCTCCTCTCTGTGTATACTGCTAATGAGAGATTTTTTTCCTGAACACAAAGATTAGAAACCTACTACAATATAATAACTTCCTCTTTATTTAGTGCTTTATAGTTTATAAACAGCATTTATATGAGGTTCCTAATTCGTTCCTCAGAATAGTCGCATGAAATGGGTAGGGATAGAGTTTGTTGCTCTCTCTCGCTTGCTCGCTCGCTCACTCTCATGCGCACAAATACACACACGGACACACACACAAATGGATATGCAGAAACCCACACTAAAATACACACGTGAACTGAATTTCAGCCTTTATTGTGGTCATAACTGATCCTTACCAAATGTGATTATTGGTTATGTAAAAAACAATCTCAGTGAAATCTGAGTAAGTTCCATGGATTGAGCCAACATCAATTTCCTATTTTTAACATTAAGCAATAGTTTTACAAGTTGTTAATATTGGGAGAAATTGAGGAAAGGGTACATGGGACTTCCCTCTCTGTTTCTGTTCAGCTTCCTATGAATCTATAATCATTCCCTAATAATCATTTTTAAACTGAGGAAGTCCACAAGAATCAACCTGAAATACGATATCCTCCTGGTACTGATGGGAGAGAGGCCAGGTGGGAAGCAGAAGGCAGAAGACAGAAAGATAATAGAAGCATGAGCACTTTAAAAATATGTGGCAGTGAGAAGAGGCCTTCATTAGCCTCTGAAATCCATGCATGTTTTTAGAGCATCATTGGTAGGAAAATTGCAGTTAAATTTGCCCAGCTCTGTAGTTAATCCTAAATAAAGCTGTTGATACAGTGTATGCACAGTGCTAATTGATTTTTAAGCATAACAGATGAATGAGTAAAAGTTTAGGGATGGAGCAGAATAAATGATTTTCCTGAAAT